AGCGTGATGCTATGGCACTCTACCCAGGGGGATAGCTTGAGGCTCCGTCTCAAAAAAAAAAAAAAAAAAAAAGGACTGTGCGCAGAGGCTCACGCTTATAATCCCAGCACTCTGGGAGGCCAAGGCGGGTGGATCACCTGAGCTCAGGAATTCGAGACCAGCCTGAGCAAGAATGAGACCCCATCTCTACTAAAAATAGAAAAACTAGTCAGGGGCCTATAGTCTCAGTTACTTGGGAGGCTGAGGCAAGAGGATCTCTTGAGCCCAAGAGTTTGAGGTTGCTGTGAGGTATGGTGCCACAGCACTCTACCCAGGGTGACTGAATAAGACACTGTCTCAAAAAAAAAAAAGTGTACAATACAATGGTTTTTAGTGTATTCAGAGTTGTGCAATCACCAGCACTATCAATTTTAGAACACTTTCATTACCTCAAAGAGAAACCCTGAACCCTTTTGCTGGCTACATTCTGTATATATTCTGTTATATATTAACCAATGCCGAAAGTTTCTTATAAATGCATTTATACAATGTGTGGCCTTTGGCGCCTGGCTCCTTTCAGTGAACACAATGTTTTTGGGGTTCCCCGTGTTATAGCCTGTCAGTTCCTCATTTCTTCTTTTGGGTGAATGACATCTGCACAGGCCACCTTTCCTTCCTCCATTCCCCTGCTGAGGGACATGTGGGTTGTCTCTGTGTGGACAGACACTTTCACTCTTCTCGGTAGATTCCGAGGAGTGGAATTGCTGGGCAATGTGTAAGTCTGTGTTTAACCAACTGGGGAACAGCCAGACTGTTTTCTAACATGGCTGCACCAGTTTACATTAACACAGCAGTGCATGAAGGGTCCAACCGCTTGGCAACTGTAGCAATAGATTATACTTATTCGCCCATCTGCTGCTACCGGGGGCCTGAGGGAAGGGACCTGGTTGGAGCTGTTCACCCTGTGCATCTCTCCCACCCTAGAATAAGGTGGATAACGCACACTGGATGAATGAATAACATCCCTCTTCTTTTCTTAGAATCTGGTGCAGGGCTTAGCAGAGAAGGGGCTTGGAAATTATTGAAACTTGAAGATTTGGGGTTGTAGAGTAACCCCAAGTAAATGCATCACATGTGCATTTAGTTTTTAGGCTGAATATTTCTCCATCTTCTATTTTAGAAACAGTGTCTTGCTATGTCCTCAGGCTGGCCTCAGAATCCCTTGGCTCAAATGATTCTCTCACCTGTAACCCTTTGAGACTACAGGCGTGTGTCACTGTGCACAGCTAGGCTGAATTTAAAGTCACTTATCTCCCCCCCCCGCCCACTCAAAACACACACACACACACACACACTCCATACACGCAATTAAATCCTACCTTCTTATTTAATTTTTACAACTGCAAACAAATCCATGACCTCACATCAAGGGATTAGAGACTCAGTATTAGGGCACATGGAGGCAAACCCATGGCAGGCAGGTCACTTAGGAGCTCTCTGCCACCTGCTGTGGCGACATGCCACTTGTCCCGCAGAGCTGTGATGGCTGCCCCTCTGTGCACACTGGCACTGCCGAGAGCTTCTTGAGCTTATTCCTTTAGTCCATTTCTGAGAACCTTTGAATCAGGTTGAGTGGTGGTGCTCTCTGGAATCACATCCTAACTCTCCTTCAAGTGAGACCTGGGCCAGTATATTTTTTCTCTCTGAGCCTTACTTTCCTGATGTACCAATGGGGATAGCAATGTTTATGCCTATAGAATTAGTATATATAAGATATATTAAGGATGTTAGTATTATAAAGATTAGGGTGGCACCTGTGGCTCAAAGGAATGGGGTACCGGCCCCCTATACCGGAGGTGGCGGGTTCAAATCCAGCCCCAGACAAATAAATAAATAAAATCTAAAAAAAAAAAACATAAAGATAAGCAACATATAATAACCAATCCTATAAATCCCATCCCACTTAAAATAAAATCCAGAGTGAAAGAAACCAGGACGGCAGGTCACACTAATTCCAGGGTACTTTGACCCCAAAGCTCCTATGCAGTCAGGACGCCTGAAAGAAAAGGGCCAGAACTCCAGGGGGTCCAGACTTACTTTCTGGATTCTGCCGAAGGAAAACAATATTCTATAATCTGTTTAGTAGCTAAGGGAGTAGGGTGGCCCTTATCAACAGTCACCACCTACCGCATGGGTGAAAGGGTGCTATTCATAGTTACATGGAGACTGCAGGCATTAACCTGGATGGTCCTGGTCAAACTGGGCTGCAGGGTCACCACAGTTTATCTCTTTACAGAATCTGGAAGGTGTGTCGGCTCAGCCAGGCTCTGGCACAGGTGTGAGTTTCTCCTAGGCTATTAAGCTCTAGGCCCTCTGATCAAAGTATTCTGATAAGAAGTCAAAGTCTCGGCTCGGCGCCTATGGCTCAACCGGCTAAGGCGCCAGCCACGTACACCTAAGGTGGCGGGTTCGAATCCCCAGCCCG